GATCTTCTCCCAGTCAGAAGGTAGTCTTTTACAGAGCGACAGTATTGAAAACAGCTTGGTATTGGCATAAAAACAGAGAAATCGACCTATGGAATTGAATAGAAGACCCGGATATTAACCCACAAACCTATGAACACCTGATTTTTGACAAGGGAGCTAAAGGCATACAATGGAAGAAGGAAAGCATCTTTAACAAATGGTGCAGGCATAACTGGATGTCAACCTGTAGAAGAATGAAAGTAGATTCGTATCTATCACCATACACAAAACTCAAGTCCTAATGGATTAAAGACCTCAACATTAATCTGATCACTTTGAACCAGATAGAAGAGAAAGTGGGAAGTAGTCTACAAGATATAGGCACAGGAGACCACTTCCTATGTAGAACCCCAGTAGCACAGACAATAAGAGAATCAATGAATAAATGGGACCTCCTGAAACAGAATCTTCTGTAAAGCAAAGGACACTGTCAGTAAGACAAAAAGCTTACATTTTAAATATAAATTCTAACTGTATATAAATTGACTAACTTATGTAGACTCTGAGTCTTAATTTCAGTGGACATTGTTTTGATTTGTTTCCAAGTTTCTTTGTAAAGTTTAGTTTTTTATACTAAGTAGAAAGTGTGCGGAAAGACAAACACTGTGGTGAGTGGAAAATAACACAGCCATAATTGAAGTCACTGTGGAATGTAAAGCTGAAAATAAAACTTCCATATGACCCAGATATCAAATCTTAAGTATATGCTCAAACTAGTTAGATATATGCTACTAAATATTTGATATATGTGACTGTACAAGTATGCAAACATCTGTGCTTCTTGAAGCTCTATTCACAATAGTTAGGAAATAGGTTCTAATTAGATGATCATTAACAGATAAATAGACAGTAAAATTGTGAACAGTGTACACAGTTAAATATCATTCAGGTATAAAGTTGAAATTGCTAAACTCTCAGTAAAATAGAAGGAACTGGAAAATATACTTAACGTAGTAACTGAGGCACAGATAGAAAAACACTTTACATTTTTTCTCATATTGGGATTATAAACAAGTTTTTCGTGTGTTTAAGATCAACCGCATAAAACAGAAATGAAGCTGAAAGTTAGACAATTAGAAGGGACATAATAAAAAGAGACATTAAGTAAAGAGAAATTCCAGAACACCAATGGTATGGGTAGAAAGGAGGAAATATGAGATGGAGTTGGTTGATGCAAAGATATAGTGGAAAGATGAGGTCTAAAATTAGCCAAAACAAGAATGTACGAAAATGACATATGGAAACTCAGTAGTTTGTAAGCTCATTAAACATATTAACAAGTTTATGTCAAGGTACTTGTATGAGTAGACAATACAGCTCCAAGAGGTCATAGGATATTAAATAAAAACTTCATTGCTGGTGTTGGGATATCTCACTAGGAGCTGTTGCCTAGAAAGGGACTGAGGATCCAAATTAAAAAGGCAATTGTCACAGTCGACAGTTGTTCACAATAACTAGTTAGTAAGACCCAATTTCTTATATACTTGTCACAGTACATAAAGAAAGCTATCAGGGAATACACCTTTTGCTGAATATCTTTCAGGGTACCAAAGATATTATGCAGTGGGATATTGTCATCAACATTATTACTGAGCTGTGGACACTGAGATATATACTTCAACCATGCTTACAAGATATGCCCACTAGAGCAATAATGGCAATTGTGGTATTGGGATAACTAATCATTTTATGATTGACAAGAGATTATATCTGGTGCAGTCAACATGGTCAATTTCTGATGCCTGGGAGGAAATAGTTTGTACTGTTGAGGCTATCACTTTTTTCTCTTAAGCGGATATGATGTAGGTATCAAACTGTCTTCTAAATAGCTACACTTGTACTTAAAAATCACTTTTGTGACTTTGGTCAAAAAAGGTTCTTCTGGTAATGAACAGTGGTAGTTTTGGAGGGTCAAAAGTGGTCACAATGCTGAGAATGTGTGCTTTTCCCATGCTCACCCTAAATGAGACATATAAGCCCCCATATAGGCTTAAAAACATGAAGGAAGAATGTGGAAATGATGAAAAAACCAAAAGATGGGCTAAATTATGTGGAATATTTTCTCCTAGATATGATATGGTCACAATACTCTTTAACTTATAATTTCTCTGATTACTACACAAGGACTACACAAAACTGGGCCTTTCCATGTTATAGCAAGGAGAATAAATGCTATAAGAACTACCCCTTACCTGAAGCTTTATAAACAGTTAAGAGTAGTTAAGGGGCATAGAGTATGAAACCTCATTCTTACAACAACTATAGGCGGCTATTTATTGTTGGTTAAAACAGAGATACATTTTCAGTAAACTAGTTACTGGTAAGGTACCCGTGTTCTTCTACATGACTTCTTCCCTATTCTCCAGTGAGCAAACCCAATAGAATTCCTAGGGTCATAAAATTACAGATGAAAATAGGGACATTGAATTGAAAGCAGAGCTAGTGCGGAAGAGGATTAGGAGCAGCAAGAGTGGGAAAAGGACAGAAGAGTTTAGAGGGCTCTTAATGTGACTGAAAGACCTGTGCACATTATTGGAATGTCATAATGAATCCATTTATTATATCTAATTATTATATATCAATAAAAGTAATGCAAAGTGTAAAGAATCCCTGCCTATGGTAATATTTTGAGACAAATAAAAAATAGTATTTACAATATTTGAAAAGATGGCTTTAAAAAAATGGTGAAAGTCAGATTATTGTATGGGAAGCCACTGAGAAAAAAGACTAAGAAAATCCACTAATCAGAATCATGATAGGAAGCCAAGCACACTTGTTATTTCTTTTTGCTGTGATAAAACATCATGAACAAAGGTAACTTACATAAGACAGAGAAAACTTAGTTTTGGCTTATGATTCTAGATGGATAAGAATAAATCATAATGGTGGAAAGGGAGCAATGGCAACATATGTCAGGTAAGTTTATCTGCTCAACAACAAATAGGAAACATAGAAAGATGATATAAGCAACTTAAGAATTTAAACATTTTATGTGAAACAAAATACTCCTCCTCTACTGGTGGTAGTGCAAGCTTCTACAGCCATGTTGGAAATCAAGATGGAAGTTTCTCAGAAAATTGGCAATCAATTTACTTCAAGATCTGGATCTGTACCAGTCTTGGGCATATACCCTAAGGAAGCTCAACCATTCCACAAAGATACTTCCTCAACTATGGTCATTACAGTGTTTTTCATAATAACCAGAGCATGGCAACAACCTAGAGGGCCCTCAATCAAATAACGAATAAAAAAAATGTACATTTACAGAATGGAGTATTGTTCAGCTGTGGAAAAAAATGACATCAGAAAATTTGAAGGCTAGAACTAGAAAATATATCATCCTGAGTGAGGCAACCCAGACACAGAAATAAAGACATGGAATGTACTCACTCCTAAGGGGATATTAGCTGCAAATAAAAAGCCATCAAGCTGCAATCCACAGTCCCAGGAAGGTTACATCACAGGGAGAGCCCCAAAAGGGACTGGAATGTATGGATGGCCTGGCGTGGGCACATAGAAGATCTCCTTGGTAGATGGGGAACACTGGGGAATGAGAACATGAGGAATTATGTTGGGTACATGGATGGAAGGGAGAGTAATGAAACAGAGGTCTTAATGGGGACCATGTTTTGGATCAGGTAGATACCTGGTGCAAGGGAAAATCCCATGAATCTACAAGGGTGATCCAAGGTAAGACTCCTAGCAATAATAGATAAGAAGTTGCCTGATCTGGCCATATCCTGTAATCAGATTGGTTACTGTACCAGTTGTCAACAGGGAGCCTTTCTCCAGTGAATGATGGAACCAGACACTGAGTTTTACAGAAAAGCACTGGGAAGAGCTTAGGGAATCCTCTTGAAGAAGGGTGGAAGAATAGTGTAAGTCAGGGGCTCAAGGTCATGATAAGGAAACATAAAGAAAAAACTATCCCGGGCTTATAGGAGCTCAAAGACTGTGAACTGACATGAAATAATAGCTAGGAAGCCTGCGGGGGTCTAACCTATGCCCTCTAAATATGTGTGTCAGTTGTATAACTTGATCTACTCGTGAGACTCCAACTGGTAATAACACAACCTGTCCGTAATGCTTTGGGTATCTTTCAGTACCTTATTCCTAATACTGTGTTAACTTGCTCAGCCTTAATACAAGGGGAGTAGCTTAGTCTTAGCTCAACTTGACATGCCATACTTTGTTGACACACATGGTGAGGCCTGACTCTTTCTCAGCAGAAACAGAGGAGGAGTAGATTAGGGGATGACATGAGCAGCGATGTTGGGGGAAAGAGTGGGAAAAGGTGAGGGAGGGGAACTGCTGTTAAGATTAAAATAAATGAATTTAATTGGAAAAAAGAATTTAATCTTCCAAAGTCCACACTCAATGTAATGCTTCTGCTAGCAACTCTGTGTCTTCTAAATCTTCTAAAACAAGGCCGTCAACTGGGAAACAAGTGTTCAAATGCTTATATCTGTGTGGGACATTTCTCATTCAAACCACCACAAATGATCATATCTACATTATTCCTGGATAACTCCATACACCAAATGATTCCAATAGAGTGACATGGGGAAAACTATTGTTGTTCCTTGTTTGCAGTGGCGTGTGATAGCAGAAAGACTTCTCAGTTAGGTTCAAAATGGTAAAGAGCCTTGGAGTCACAGATCAATTATGTGTAGAGGGATATGATGGAACCAAGAGAAGACTATAGAATATACTAATGTCTATGGATGTAGACAAGTTATATAACATAGATGCTTTGTGGATTTGAGCACCAATATTATATAAACATAGCATGTTAATAGGTGCTTGTATGCCTAGAACTCAAGGAGGATACAGGAGGAGTAAATCTTCAAGATCATCTCTGACTATGCAGAGAGTTGAAGCCCTGACAAAGCTATATCTTCCTTGTCTTTAGAAAATATCTCTGAGCTTCTCCCAGTTTCCATATTTAACATGACACTCACCATTTCCTTTGAGGAACCGTTCAAAATAAGCTCCAAATAACTCTGGATTCTTAGCAAGTTTTGTCTTATGAAAGAAAAAATAACTAGACACAAAAGCATCTCTAGGATTTCTGATGACAAAGATCACCTTAAATGGAAAAACATGAATGAAGATCAATATAGTCATTTCAAACCTTTTAACTGACACATATAAATGAAATATTTATATGAATATAAATGATTTATATGAAATATGAATCAAATATCCAAGAGGATTTAAAAATATTTATTATTTTTATTTTGACAAAATATAAAAATGGTCTATATTTTAATATTTCAAATATCTAAAGTCTGATTTCTTTTTATAATTCTTCTTGGTTTACAAAAATTTAACAGCTAAATGACTGAGGTCATTAATATTTCTAAAAAACAACATCAAACCAAGACTGAAGCAATTGTTTTAAAGATCAATTAGTTAACATGGCGAAAGACAATCGATCCATTGTGCTAGAACATTTTATGTAAACAGACTAATGAGCACTGTGACAGATCAATCTGTGTAATGACAAACTACTTGGTTTCAGCAGCTGTAAATACAAAATATAACTCTAAAGTTAATTATTATCAAAGCTCAAAGCCAGTGTGCACTGCACAATAGGGAACACAAAGACTTTCATTCAACTAAGAAATGCTAAGAGTGGGGGAAATATACTTCCCCTTGGAAAAGGTTAACAATTGGTTATACAAAATCTCAGGAATGAAAAGATACAAGTAAGATGGTAAGACTGAGCAGATAGTAATTAAGTATTTAGTAATATGAAGATATATATACTTACACAAATATAACATAATTAATGAAGAAGATCGTAAATTTGAAAGATAGAAAGAAAGGATACATGGATCAGTTTGGAGAGAGAAAGAGGAAGAGGAAATGATGTATTTCAATATATTATAATCTCAAAATAAAATTAATTAATTAAAAATAAATAATTTTAGTAAGATGAAATTTATAATTGTCTCATTGCTCTTTGTGATATTATTTTAGAATTCATCTCTATAAGCCTAATTTCTTCAGCCAAGTGTTTACCAAATTCATATAAGACACAAGCATGAAGGTGAATGGTCTCAATGCTTTGTGATATTTTTTTCTAAGTTAGTCTTTGTAGGTCAAGCATAAAATATTTTAAGTTTCGATGGTAGAGGAACTTCTAAAAAACTTTCTTACTTACAAGGAGCTGTAATAAGTTAGGAGCTAGATATTTCTTATCCCTTTTGGAGATCATCAATTAGTGACACAGACAATAGTGTGGATACTAATCTTAATAGGTATCTAGAAATGGCAAGGCATGGTGGTTAGGGATGAGATATAGACTGTTAAATAAACTCCTTGAAGAGACAATTGGCCCAGTGAATCTGCCTTGAGGGATTCACCAAAGAAAATGGACTTTGTGTAGAATCAGGATTAGCTTAGTGACTGTGATGACAACAAAAGAGTAACATCTACTGTCCACTAGAGTTTGAAATCTGCTTGACCTCCATATGTAGTTTCGGAATGTGCTTGCTTATTTTTCACTTTCTCTCATATACCTTCACGGGATCACTATGCAGTAATTGATATCCAGATTCTCTGATGTAATCTGAGGAAGGGACACATCAGCATCACTTAGTGCATGAGAATCCCAGCTTCCCTCCTGCAAGTTATACAATCAGAGTACATTTCAACAAGAGCTCCAGGGCCTGTCTTGGTAGACTATGTTCAATGAGCATTCAGTAAAGGATTTCTCAAACACTGGACACTGACCTTGGCCTTGGAACTGAAAAAGGACTTGGGGAAAAGATGGAAGGGAAGGTGGGAGCTGATGAGGCGTGGTCCTTCCTTATTGATTAATAATTCATATCCATATGACGTCTCTATCCAGGGTGAGCGTTCCCAAATGGGAACAGATTGAATCCATTTGGGATTCCCCTTGGTCTGAATCAAGGAGATCATTTCAATCATCCAATTTGTTCCTGAACAAGAAGAAAAAGTGATGGTTACTCTTTTCAAAAATAATTTTGAAAAAAAACTCAAGTACAATATAACACCAAACAATGTACAGTGCAACTGTTTCAAAGAACATAGACCTGAAGTGTCCACAGTGTCCATATTGTATAAGCACAAAGTATACTCATCCAACACATTACCAATGCTTGACTTAGAAAAACTTTGACAGTACTCAGTGAACTCTACCTGCCTACTGAACACCTCCTCCAGTACTAGGCTATCATCATCCAACATTCTAGTGCAGTGAGCTTGACTATCAGATATTTCATAGGGATGCAGTCATGGAATCTGTACTTGAACCTGGCTCCATTCATTTAATATAATGCTGTTTAGATGCATTCATTCTCCAGGGTGTGTATAAGTACTGCTTCTCTTTAAGGCACAGAAGACCTCTTGTGTCTACTTACCACACACCCTTGTATTTCTGTTTAAATGCTTATTTGTCGATGCATATTTCTCTAGCTTTCTTCTTTATCCTGCATTTCACTGACCCCGACTTTTTCATGTTACTGTATTGTTGATGTCAGCAACCTAATACTTAGGCAATGTTCCATGCTTCTGCAACCCAACAAACACCCCTCCCACAAAACCCATGATTCCTCTTTTTCATTACTTGGGTTTTGAAACACTTTTCACTATCTGGATCAAGGTTCATGGTAATTCTTCTACTTGACATTGTCTGGTGTTGTGGGAATTTGGTCTGATAAGATAATGAAACTGGGGCATGAAGCCTAGAGGGCATGATCTTCTCTGGGTATGTGGCCAGATAAAAACTGAGGGTGAGGGTCATGTTCTCTCTCTTTGGGATGGTGAGTGAATGAACAGAGCTAATGTTTGGAGTTCCCTTTGGCCCTTTGGAAAGGGGTCACAATGCAACAGTGGAGAGTTGATTTCCTGGCAGTACAGCACAGTGGTTGGAGATGTGACTTGGAGTCCTCCTTTTGTCCCGCAATCATAGTGCTTCGGTTTGATTTAATAAATGGTATAACAGTCAACAGAGTTTCTGCTTCACCTGGTGCCCATGTGGTCAGAACCCAAACATGCCTACTGGATCCTACTGCCCCATGTAGCTCACAAGTTTTACCCTCAACTCCACTACTGCCCATTAGTTTTGGCAAGCCCTGCCTCTGACTGACTGAACTGCCATCCAGGTACTTTTCCATGCTACCTTGTCTCCCATTGGAGCTTGCTGTGTCTACTTGTCTTAAACATGTTCATACATACCCCTTTTAATTTTTTTCTTTTTTTTAATTGATTTTTATTGAGGTCTACATTTTTCTCTTCTCCCCTCCCTTAAAATTCTTACTTGGCTAGTTGGAGGACAGATTCACTCAAAATTGCCCTGCACCAAGCCAGAATCTCATGTGCTTGACAGGTTGGGCCATATTGCTCATGCTAGGTCCCAGAGGCATCTGCAGCACTTACCCCACCATAGTCCTCCTCACCTCATTCTCCATGCTGCCTTCTGAAGGAAGTACCTGTGCTAGGCTATCATGAACCCATTGCCACACAGTACCTATGTGGTCTAGGCCTTTGTAGCTGTTGGGTATCCTTCGCAATCAGTACTGCTCAGTTCATACAAACACTGGGCAGATTTTGGTCCTGCTGCTTAGGACATTTTCTTTATGCTGCTAATTCCCCAAATCCAATGCAATCAGATGCTAATGTACAACTACTATGGTGTATAGTTGCTGTAGCTAAATAAATTTCTTTGGTTTAAATCATCTGATGTGGGCCAGGTGTGTAAGTAGTCTTTTTCCCATCCCACTTACGGGATCCCTGTAATTCTGCCTAGCACTCACAGGTACCAGGTTGGGGCTAGCCTGGGTGGAAATTTCATCCAAAGAACAGTCAGGTCCTGGAGCCTGAGTCAAAGCACTATACAGGATGTCCCCTGAAGTACTCTGGTGCCTCAACTGCAGCACCTGATGTCCAAACATCATTAATACATCCTAAAATCTTCACAGGAACTAGCAATCTGAACATCAGCAATATCTGTTGGTCATTATAGATTATTATACCTGTGGCAATTCTCAAAAATTTTAAAGTACTTGATAAATTTAGATATTAAAACAACAAATAAATGATGAAAAATAAGAAAATAAAAACTTTACAATTTTTAAAACTTTGGCATATCAACAGCTAAAAATGTCATTATGCAGGCAATAAGGAATATGTACACTTGTATTTGGAAAAGTAAATAAAAATTTACTAAATTTGCTAAAATTGCTCCTGTAAGAAATGCAGAGTAAATTGTATTAATTATTTAGGATATAAAATAGGTCTAAGCAAAATTTTACCCCAAAACATGCAAATTAGGAGCGATTGATTGCAGACACTTAATGGCTTTCAACGATTGCTGACAGAAATTTCCCATTTGTGCACCACTATTGGAATAACAATGTGGGAACTTAGTAATATTTTTTTTTAAAACTTTAAAAGGTGACAAGAACTTAAATAGTCCCAGAGAATTAACAGTGGAACCTGAGATAGAATTGGATTTCATGTAAAAGAAAGCATAGGAGGTATGTGTGTATGGTGAGATTGACTTCTTTCAAGTTATATTACCCTCCATCAATTCTCCTAAAGGTATTTTAATGCAGAGAGAAGATATTATATGGGGACGGGTATTTTTACAACACAAACTCTACAACAAATTAAAAACATATGTGGAAAATATTTCTGTGTTGATTCTAAAAGGAAAATTAAGACTTTGACAACTGACCGGAATGGATACAGCAGAAATTATAGTACATTTTACTAATAAGAAAATTTCCTCTTTGTGGGCAGAAAATGAACACTGGCAAAGAGCTTGCAGTAAATTTTTGGGAAAGATGAACAGCAGATATCCATAAAACAAAATAGTTCAATTCATTAAAAGAACCAGTTGTGTCATTCCTCGCATTATACAGAAAACACCAATATCTGGATACCCTACATTAAATACTGATGAAAATAATTCTAAAAAGGTGGGACATAAATCAGAAAATTTGAGTCAAATGTCTCAAAGTCATTATAATTCTGACCAAAAGTCAGGATTATATGCCATTCTTTTGGTATTAATGGTTATTACAGACCCTCTTAATGTAGTTACTGACTCTCAATATGCAGGAAGAATTGTTTTTCACATTGAAATTGCTGAACTTATTCCTGAGACAGATTTTGCTTTGCCATTTATACAATTATAGGAAATGATCAGTAATAAAAATCAGCCTATATATATATATATATATATATATATATATATATATATATATCTCACATCAGAACCCATATAGGCCTGCCAGGCCCTCTATCACAAAGTAATGATAAAATTGATATTTATAGAAAATATATTGAATGCCTCAGAACTTCCTAAAAAGCACCATGTTAAAATAATGGTTTGAAAGAGGACTTTTCCTCACTTGGCCAAACAAAGGGAGTTATATGAAAATGTACTACTTGTTCCTTATATAATCAAATTATACTACTGGAATGAATTAAACCCAGTTCTTTCAAAGAATTAAAAAAATTTAAATTTTGCATATGGATGTTTCATAATACATAATTTAGAAAATTTAATATATAAAGTATACTATAGATACATATTGTATCAAAATTTTAATGGATAGGTGCTTTGAGCTCTGAAAATGCTGATTCTGTAAGTATACACCTAATAGAAGTCATGGCCATCATGAAAATACCTATACAAATTAAGACTGACATGCTGGAGCATAAGTCTTTAGTAAAATAAAACATGCTTTTCCATATTAAAAAATAAATTTTATTGCAGGTATGTCATATAATCTAACTGGGCAAGTAGCTGTAGAAAGGTCTAAACAAACTATAAAAGAAATGCTTAGTAAACAGAAATGTGCAATAAAGGCTCCCCAGATATAGATTGTGTAATTTCTTATTAACTTTATATTTTCTAAATGCTAATGAGAAAGGAACAGCAGCTGTGGAGAGAAATTGAACAATAGGAGAAACTACTGAACTAAGTCAACCTGCACCTATAAAGATGTGTTGACCTGAGAAAGGAAATCAAGATATATGTTGCATTAGGGGTGGGGTTTTGTTTTTGTATCCACAGGATAATAAAAGGGATGGATACCATCAAAATTAATAAAGATTCAGTTTGAACAGAAGAAATCTCTTACTATGGAGTGCTGGGACCATTTTTAGTCCTGGCCTCCCGATGCTCTTTCCTGCTAGAGATCTTTACTTTCCTTCTGATTTGAGTTACTAAAAGCTGTGTCAAAGTTGTTTACCAGCTCTGCTTTATGAGTATGTGTTGCCTTTGGCCTTGAAGATCAGAGGATCAGGATTTCACCTGTTGGCCCACCTAACTGTTGAGTATATAAGCCTCCATGGTGCTATTGAATAAAGGGCTTCTTACCAGTGACTAGAAGTCTCTGTCTCTGCCTCTCTGTATGTCATTGTGTGTTTCAACCTCCAGCCCCTTGCCCGAAGCTCAGAAGCTCGCAAACTGTATGGTAGCACATAGAGTTCAGATGGGCATTGTGCACAGCAATAGAGAAGTGACAGTTCGCTATTGGATCGAGCAATTCTACCTGTCTGAAGGCTACTCACCCTATAATGGTTGGGCCAGGGTTCTGTTTTTTGGCTTTACAGGAAAATAGAAATACCCATCTTAAGCAAGTCAAAGAACTTTGGATATCTAGATATCTAAAGAAGAAGAGAAAACTCTCAGGAAAAATTTCCAAACATAAAATAATCAGGCCTAATGTAACAAATATTCTCTACAGGGTAAAATCAAACTACATAAAAATTAAAATTTCTTTACTTTTCAAAAAATCTGTAGTCCCAATTCAATTAAATATCAAAGCTAGTGCCAGACAGTGATTGACACACACCTTTAATCTGAGAACTTGGGAGGCAGAGGCAGGTGAATCTCTCTGAGTTCTGTGAGATAACATTGTAGCCAGACAGCAAGAAGTAATTATAAGAAAACAATGTCCCTTCTTCCAGTAGGTGGTGTGGATGATCTTGGTTTTCCTCAGGGTTGTGGATAATGGTCATCCATTGAGCATTGGTAAAAATTATTATATGGTTTGGGCAGGAAAATAGATATTGGACAACAAGATCTCAGAGGGAATAGATAAACGGGGGATAGAGATGATAGAATAATAAGGTAGATTGTTATATCTATTTGTAAAGTGAATAAGCAACTAACAATTTTAAATAATTTGCACTGGCATCGATATTGAATATTGATAAAAATTCAAAATTATTTTTCTATTCTTACTTAAGATAATTTGTACTTTGATGCAAATTTAAAATTATTTTTGTTATAATGCACATATGTTCCTACTTCTGCTTAAATATTTTTGCATATTAATACAAATGTAAAATTAATTTTGTCATACTGTATATGTGTTTCTACTTATGTTTAGGATATTGTATATTGATTAAAATGAACATTATTCTACTACAATATACATTTCTACCTCTGATTAATATAATTTTGTATATTGTCACAATTTTGAGGTTATTGTTCTTATACTGTACATCTGTTTACAGATTGTTTATTTTTGTAATGTGAAGCTTTAGTCTTTAAGCAAAAGAGACTAATAGAATTATAGTTTAATCATCTCCCATGTTTGTCAATCTTATAGTCATCTCAGTTGGATTTTCTAGGAATGCAAAGATATTTTCCACAAAGATAGCTTATCTTCAAACACTTTAAAGTCCTATATAATATGACATTTAAATGACTTAACTACTAATAATTCTGGTAACATGAGACATAACTACTCCAAGAAAGACTGATCTACTCCTGAGAGGATGATAGACACTGAAATACTCCATATGGAGTTGGTTTTCTACTTGGCAATCCTGGCCTATACGTTCATTCTGTCCAGTCCAAACAAGCAGGACAAAAGGACAAGTGACTAATAAACCTTTCCTAGAGGACAGTCTTTCAAATTTTCCTGCTTCTTAAAATTGGTCTGTCAGATATTCTATACCTACAGCCAAAGTTGGTTGACCCAATGTTGCAGAAAAACTGTGGGTGACTGTACAGGCAGTCAGCTGTTTTTGTCATTTCTTGCATTTTTTGAAAGTTATCTCTTACATGACATGAATACTCAAGTAATATTACATTCCTTCTTGGGTCTTTGATGGGGTTGAAGACTAGATAGTTAAAATTACAAGCCTCTCAAATCTTAGGCAAAAAAATTACTCTCTTCAGGAAAGGACAACTATGGAATAAGTAATCGCTGCAATTTGGCAATTACCTATCCTATGGACATCTATAATGAGTTTTTTCTTGATGTTTTTCTTGTTATTTATAACAATTTTGTTTATATTATTACCTTTTCTTTTTTCCTGACAACATTTTGTAATTATTATTTTTGCATATACTTTTTGTTAGAATTATAACTTACTTAGACAAAAGGGGGAAAGTTGTGTGAATTTGACCCAATAAGCCCTATGCATGTGGTACTCTCTGTGTATGTGAAGAGATAAGAATTGAGGATGAGGTTTGCACACTTTCACTTTGGGATAGTCAGGGACTTGGCAGAGATCTGGGTTGGAGTTCCCTTTGTTCCTTTGGGAAGAGGTTACAGTGCAGAGAGCTGATTGCCAGGTGGGATAGTGGAGTTGCTGGAAAGATTTCTCTTTCTGTCTTGCAATTTATAATTGGATTTGATGTAATAAAAGCAAAACAGTCCTGTAGTGGCATTCCATTTATATTTTAATAAATAAAGCTTGTCTGAAGATCAGAGAGTAAAACATCCATAATGGTCAGTCTTACAGACCAGGTAATGGCGACATACATCTTTCATCCCAGTAGCTACACTAGTTTGACATAGAAACTGGGCAGTGCATACCTTTAATACCAGTGGTTCATGCCTTTAATCCCAGCTCTAGAACGGAATATAAAATGGAGGAAACAGCACTCAGACACAGTCTCATTCTGAGATTCCTGGAGGCAGGATTGCCATTTTTGAACTGAAGTCAAGACAAGACTTGGTTGTTTTGCTTCCTGTGTCTTCAGGTTGAATCCTAATTTCTCTCTCCGAGATTTTATAAATCATGCCTCATAGTCCTGAATGTTCCAGATTTAGTACTTTCCCCCACATATTCTTATACCATTCCTTTTTCTCTTGATACTATTCCTTTTGTTTATTTTCATCTTTTTCCTCCTTTCACACAGAGACAGAACAATGTCAGAATTTGCTTTAGGATCCCCTAACATGGTTCTCATGGCTTAACTGATCCTCTATTGATATGAATCAGTTTAGAGGTCTTTCTTTGAGTGAAAATGCACTCTCACACAGCTCTCCATTCACACAAACCATTTTAAATATCAGATATTATAGAGCAATTCACTCATCACCCAAATGAATGTTGATCAAAGTCCTAAACTGCCTCATACAGTTCACAGTCGTTCTGATGGTCCTTACCTGATTTGGGGTAAGTCAGTATGACTGTATCTTCATCTCTTATCACAAACTTATCACAATTTTCAAGTGTTTCTCTATCATATCCTAAAGTAGGAAAAGGTATTCCTTCATACCAAAGGTAGTCAGACATAGCAAAGAACTCTTTGTGGGTTTCTAAATTCCAGCTTTATCTACCTGTTCTGTTTGAAGCAAATATTGGGAGGTATATTTAATGTGCAGGGAAAAGAAATAATTAACAACATTCATTGTCAAATGGCTACTGACATAGAAAATAGATGATGTAACAGTCAAAGGTTGTTGTGTTAAGCAATAGTGAACTCATCCAAAGTTCATTCTATATCATTTGTAAGCCTCAGTTCATGACTCAATACCAGGAACTCAGCAACTAGTGTTAGGACATACAAATGGGTCTCAATTTAAAATATTTCAAATACAATTTAGCTTTCAGAATGGTTTCAAATGTCCAGAAAAGTTATAGAGGTCATATAACCTGTTGACACATACAATTCATTTTTAAAAGTAGTGGTTGTTCTTAAGAAACTTAAAGTATCTCAACTGCACTATATGACTCCTACCCTTCTGTTCTCTTCCCCTTTAATTCCTCCCGTATTTAGTATCTCTCCTTTAATTTTCAGTGCTATGTGCATATGAAATCATGTGCATTTAGTTCTGTTTGTATGGGAAGGTATCTTGAGTTTAGCACTAGGGATTGGACAACCATTGTGAGGTTTACCATCCTAAGGCAGCTGATGCTCTTTTTTTTCAGCAGATATTGACCTTCTGTAGTCCTTAATCTAGGGAAGGAACATGTAGAATTTCTCCTGTGTGTAGTGGAATATCATTTGTATTTTAATAAGTAAAGGAATGTTTGCCTGGAGGTCAGAAATATAAAAAAGTCACGCTGGCCAGCCTTAAAGACCAAGCAACATTGACACACAACTTTAATCCCAGTATATCCACATTAGCTTGTCATAGAAACATGGTGGTAGTGCTACATGCCATTAATCCTAGAACTAGAGAGGACCATAAAATGAAAAGAGATACTCTCAGTCTCAGTCTCATTCTGAGATTTCCTGGAGACAGGCTCACCATTTTAAAACGAAGGCCGAGGTAAGAGTCAGTGGCTGGTTGTTTTTCTTTTCTGGTCTTTAGGTTGAACCCTAATATCTGTCTCTGAGTTTTTATAAATTGTACTATACCTGTCCTTATGTGTGTACCAACATGCACCATTATGCTGGTTCATTTATTGAGAGTCCATGGGTTTATTTCCTTGTCATGCCAAAAGGATATTTCTAATCAATATGGATCCTGGGTCTCAGGTGTCTTTCAGTCGTTTATTTTGATGTTTTCTCCAAGAATTTGTTTTATTTTTTCCATTTATTTATTTATTTATAAAAATTTCCATTTACTCCCCTCCTCCCAATACTCTCCCAGTCCCCTCACTCCCTCTCCTCCTTCCTCTCCAGTCCTAAGCGTAGTCAGGGGTTCCTACACTGTGGGAAGTCAAAGTTCCTCCCCGCTCCCTCCAGGTCTAGGAAGGTGAGCATCCAAACAGACTAGGATCCCAAAAAGCCACTACTTGCAGACGAAACAAGACCCAGTACCATCGTCAATGGCTTCTCAGTCAGCCCCCATGTCAGCTACATTCAGAGAATCCGGTTTGATCACATTCTCCTTCAGTCCCAGTCCAGCTGGCCTTGGTGAGCTCTCATTAGATCAGCCTCCTTGTATCAGTGGGTGAAAGAACCACTCGGAGTCCTGACTTCCTTGTTCATGTTCTCCCTCCTTCCGCTCCTCATTTGGACCTTGGTGGCTCAGTCCAGTGCTCCAATGTGGGTTTCTACCTCTATCTCCAACCATTGTCCCGAATGAAGGTTCACTCTGATTCTGACTTCCTTGCTGACGTTCTTGCTCCTTCTGCTTTTAATTTGGACCTAGGGAGCTAAGTCCACTGCTCCAATGTGTGTCTCTGTCTCTATCTCCATCCATCGCCAGATGAAGGTTCTATGGTGATATGCAAAATATTCATCAATATGGTTATGGGCCAAGGTCAGTTCAGGCACCCTCTCTTCTGCTGCCCAGGGAACAATCTGAGGACCTCTCTTGTCCTGGGAACCCCTCTAGAATCAAGTCTCATGCAAACCCTAAAATGGCTCCCTTAGTAGAGATATATACTTCCCTGCTCCCATATCCATCCTTGCACCATCCCACCCATCACATTCCCCCAAGCTATCCCGAATCCTCCCCTTCTACTTCTCTCTAAGCATCTCCCCTTACATCCACCCCCACCACCATGCACCCAAGTTTGCCTGGCAATCTTGTCTAATTCCAATATCCAGAAGGATAACTATATGATTTTCTTCAGGTTTACTTTCTTATTTAGCTTCTGTAGGATCATAAATTATAGGCTCAAAGACCTTTAATTATGGCTAGAATCCACTTATGAGTGAGTACATACCATATTCCTTTTTTTTTGAGTCTGGGTTACCTCACTCAGTAAAGCGTTTTCTATTTCCATTCATTTGCATGCAAAATTCAAGATGTCATTGTTTTTTACTGCTGAGTAAAACTCTAATGTGAATATGTTCCACACCTTTTTTAACCCTTCTTCTATTGAGGGGCACCTAGGTTGTTTCCAGGTTCTGACTATGACAAATAGTGCTTCTATGAACATATTTGAACAAATGATTTTGTAGTGTATATGGCATCTCTTGGGAATATACCCAAGAGTGGAATTCCCAAGAGTGGTCCTGAGGTAGGTTGACTCCCAGTTTCCTGAGAAACTGCCACACTGATTTTCACAGTGGCTGCACAAGTTTGCATTCCCACCAACAATGGATGAGTGTTCCCCTCACTCCACATCCTCTCCAGCCTAAGTTATCATTGGTGTTTTTGAATTTAACCATTCTGAGAGGTGTAAGATGGTATCTCAAAGTTGTTTTGATTTGCATTTCCCTAATCGCTAAGGATGTCAAGCATGACCTTAAGTGTCTTTTGACCATTCGAATTTCTTCTGTTGAGAATTCTCTGTTCAGTTCAGTACCCCATTTTTTAATTGGGTTAATTAGTGTTTATTGTTTAGTTTCTTGAGTTCTTCATATATTTTGGAGATCAGACCCTTATCTGATGAGGGGTTGGTGAAGATCTTCTCCCAGTCAGAAGGTAGCCTTTTTGTCTTACTGACAGTGTCCTTTGCTTTACAGGAGCTTCTCAGTTTCAGGAGGTCATATTTATTCATTGATTTTCCTATTGTCTGTGCTACTGGGGTCCTACCTAGGAAGTGGTGTCCTGTGCCCATGTCTTCTAGACTACATCCCACTTTCTCTTCTATCAGGTTCAATGTGGACAGATTAATATTGAGGTTTTTAATCCATTTGGACTTGAGTTTTGTGCATGGTGATAGATATTGATCTACTTTCATTCTTCTATAGGTTGACATCCAGTTATGCCAGCACCATTTGTTAAAGATGCTTTCCTTCTTCCATTGTATACTTTTAGCTCCCCAATCTTTCCAACATCTTTATCATAAAGAAGTATTGGTATTAACTCTACTTGGAAGATCTGATAGAATTCTGCATTGAAACCTTCTGGGCCAGGGCTGTTTTTGGAACGGAATTTTCTGATAACAGCTTCTAATTCCTTGTGACTTCCAGGTCTATTGAAACTGCTCACCTGGTCTTCTTCAGAAGCAGGAGTAAGTTACTGGACCTATATCCTTAATCCACTTTTTTCTAGCCGGTCTTTTGAGGTGATGTGCATGCATCTATCTTTACTTACCCAGCCATCCTGTCCCCCCCCGCCCCTTGGGGCAATTTGACATACCTTAACAAAGATGATGGAACTGCTTATAATTTTTCTCATACAGGTTCGGGTTTGCCGGTCTGCCTTGGCAAGCCTCCCTGTTTGCCATTTGGGTGGCAGCATTGGCTGCTTTCTGGGAATCGTACTAAAATATCATGCACTCGACTGCAGCGGTTATCCGCTTGGTCTATTAACGTGACCTGGAATAACGTTACATTTGCTAATGAATTGACTATTCCATATTGCCCTGACTTTACATATGTTATATTGAGACATCAGTACTTTTCCTGGCAAGAATGTCAAGGAAAGTTTGGGAAGTGCATGGGCCCCTCCATTGCGTGGGGACCATATGGACAATTTATTAACACTTGCTCTGAATGGAATTTGACATTGTGTGATTTATCTCAAACCACAAGGATTCTTGACCCTAAACAGGGTATCATGACTGGTTCCTGCCTGATGGCCTGCGGAGATGGTGGCATCGCAGATTTGCAGATGGCTTTGCTCTCTGTTCCTGCGGATCTGCAGACACACCTTTGGAAGATTACTGCAGCATTGAAACATGTCATGCTGTTTAATGGATCATTTAGTGGGACTGCTCAATCTGCTTCTAATTATTCATTTACCCTCTTTCAAAAACATAATGTTACTGCCTGCGTGTCTCTTCCTTATGTTTTTCTTGTTGGAAATGTTACTTTTGGGCTAGGAATGTCCTGCCCCTCTTGCCGTTTGTATTCCTATCTTAATACCTCTGTTCCTTTACAACCTGGGGACAGCACTGTATTCTGCAGCAATGAACCCACATTTGGCTACCCGTTAAATTGGGCCAGGAGTGGGCCCAGAATCCTGTTGATACTATTGTGATGGAGTTTTTTTTACCAAACTTCTTAAGTGCACTAAGCATATAATTGGAGTGGTTCTGGCGGTTGTTTTAAGTCTTATAGCTGTAGCCACGGTAGCCACCGTGTCAGGAACGGCTCTGCATACTTCCCTCCAGACTAAGCATTTTGTAGAACAGTGGCATAAAGACTCTCATAAGCTGTGGTTAGCCTGAACACAGATTGACACACGACTGCAGACTCAAATTAATATTCTCAAGCAAACAGTTAACTGGCTTGGGAAGAATGTTTTGGTTATAGAAAGACAAATCTGGCTTAGGTGTGATTGGAATTCCACTACTTTTTGTGTAACCAGCTTGTGTAATAATGACTCTGAACATGATTGGCAATTGATTCAGCAATACTTAGAAGGAAATAGATCTGCCTCTAAGTTTATCAATACCCTAAACATAAAAGAGGTATTTGGCCGACAGTTTGAACATGATGATGTTCTGGCCTTGGCCGAAGCGTTCCTGAAGCAGTTGGAAGGATTAGACCCTCGAGGTCTTTGACA